GTTGCGGTTGCTCAGGAGTATGGTACCCATCCTCCTCATTCATTGGGGGCATTTGAACTGACATGTGTTCAAAGTCATACGTCGACGAAAACATGGGAGAGTAGATGGATGCATTAGGCTGCACAAACTCTGGTATGTATGCATCGTCGAACGGTTGTGGTGCGCTATTATCCACATCGGTCATTTCCGCTTCAGGTTGTTGAGATGAACTCCCACTCCCACTTGGTAGAGAGTATTCAGCTTTACCAAATCTTTTCTTAAACCTCAAAAATTGTCGCCTCTCTACAATTGTTGTCAAGAATGGCTTTCCATTATCCAAAAAATAAGCAAGGTAAGCCGAAGTCTCAAAATTAAAGTCGTAGTCTTGAATGTCGTCAAGAGTTGGCATGAATGAAGCCCTATTGTTCCAAGCATTAATGTAGGTTGCATGGTTCTCAACCCAATTAACATTTTCTTTATGACGACCATCAAATCTGTGCAGCTGGTCATGCGTCTCAACCCAATTCACCTGACGACGACCATCTAAGATTTGGAGGAGGTCATGATCCCATAGACTCCGCGGAATAGGTTGGTAGAAGTGGAATTGCCTCAACACTCTATCCCCAAATTGGATCTCAACAAAAGCAAAATTGATCAATGGTGTAACAGCACACCAATATTGAAACACATCTAAAATATCGTGCGGTATCAACGCAAGTATTTCTTCATTCATGTATGGTCTCCAATTAAACTGTAAAATTACAAAAATAATAAAATTTATTTAAATCAAATAATATAGTTAATTTAAATAATAATTAAAAATAACATATTATACATACCTCCTTTTTTGCCTTAATGTCGATCTTCAGCATGAACTCTTTAATGTTGTTGTGCACCAACCACGTGCCTTCAATTTTATGCCTCCATCTGTATATCAATCAAAACAAAATATGGTCATTTTTATTTTATAATTAATATTTTATATTAAAATAGAAAATTCATATTACCTTCCGGCAAGAGGAAAGTCAACCGCAGTCCGACTAATCGATGTCAGAAACGGAAGTCTATGCCAAGCCCATGACTGTAGCAGCAACAGACATCTACCGATTTCTGCTGTATTATTATCATTCACGACTAATGACGCCTTGTACATCTCACGATACCAGAACGCCAATATCGCCGATCCACAACTATATTGCCTACTATTCTCAAAATTTCTTAAAAAAAGAAGATACTGAGTGTGAACATAACTACCGGATTTATCCGACATTAAAATACCCCCAATCAACTGTAATATATATGCTCGTGTTGCATATATAATTTCGTGCTCCGTACTATTTGGTTGAAGCTGAAATTCATTCTTCAACCATGACAACCTCACACGCCACCCTTTACACTCTGGTGGTACGGGCGTTTTCCCAAGAAACAAGCTACAAAGTTATGCCACATTATTAAACTCATGTGACATTACCACTGGCATCCCATTTGTTTGGACCCTGAGTTGCAATGCCACATCCTCCAGAGTTATCGTACATTCGCCACACGGCAAATGAAACGTGTGCGTTTCTGGTCTCCAACGCTCAATCAAGGCACTGATCAAACCTGGGACCAACTTGTAATCTCTCACAAATGTTACATACCAAAATCCAGCCTCCTGCAAGTTTTCTTCTATCAATCTGTGTGGCTTGGGCACTTTATATAGCCGAAGACGAAGGACTCGCTGCTCGTCCTCCTACAATTAAATAATGCAAAAAAATTATCACAATCATCATAAAATAATATTCAAATATTTATTAATTATAATTCATTAAACAAATATTTTATTCACAATTATTCCCAAATGATTTGAAATATGTTCATTGTCAAGTCTCAGCAGTGGAATTTGGTCAGCCATTGGAATGAATCTGTAAAAAAAAGTAAACAACAGTATTTAAAAAATCATTTAATATAACTAATATAATCTAACTAACTAACTATTTCACAACACAACAAAAAAATTTAATATAATAACGTATAATATATTAAACTAATAAACTAACAAACTAAACTTTTTAAAATATAAGTTAAACGTAAATTTTCCCTTAAACAACTAATAAACTATTCTTTAATATAACTTTAACTATTCTTTAATATAATGTTAACTAATAAACTATTTTTTAATATAACTTAAACTAATAAATGTTTTTTAATTATAATTTATTACTAAAAAACTAATTAACTAATTTTTTATATAATATATAAATTCAACAAACAAATATAACTTAACTATTTAACTAACACAAACTAATTACATATTTTTTTATTATATATAACTAACGACTAACAAACTAACTGATTATTTTTATTAATATGTAACTATCAAACACACTAATTAAATAATTTTTTATTTCTATATGATATAACTTAAACTAACAATAATATAACTTAAACTACCAAACTAATTAACTAATTTTTTGTTTTACCCTAATTTATAATAATAAACTAATTAACTAATAATTTATAACAATAAACTAATTTAAATAATTATTCTTTTATATAACTTAAACTAATTAACTAATTTTTTTATATAATATAAATTCAACAACCAAAATATAACCATCAAGCAAACTAATTAATTACAATTTTGTTTTACCTTAAACTAACTAACTAATTAACTAAAATGTTGTAAACCCTTAAACCATAAACTAACAATCTAATAATTTAAAATAAAAAACTAATTTATATAATTAAAAAGCTTACCTCGATGTTGTGCTCTCCCTTTCTTCTTCTTCCTCTTTTCCCTCTTTTCCCTTGCTCTCTTCTCCCTTTCTTTCTTTTATGTTTCACTCATTAACCCCCATCCAATATATAATACAACCACCCCCGTTTGCTTCAATTATTCACCTTTGCATGGGCCATTCACGTGAGCTGAAGGACTGCAATAATGTAACAATAAGTGCTGCAATAATGCAGCTGAATTCACGCTGCATGCGAGCAGAGGTTTGCCGAGAACAGACCACGTGAACAAAGCTCTTGGCGACCTATCCCATGCCCTGTGCATGGCCCATGCATAGCACCAAAGCAGAGCATCAGCCGGGCAGAGCAGCAGAATCACGAGAACGTTGGACATCGGGCGTGCATGGCGTCCTTATAGGACGCCGGGCGTGCATGGCGACCTATAAGGACCCTATAAAGACGTCGGGTGTGCATGGCGACCTATGCTGGTTCGTCTGGATGCTGCCACGTCAAAGGTCACCCGGAGTGCATAGCGACCTACGACCATCACTGTAGAATTTACCCCATTCGAGCAATTAATCTGAACAATGCATTATCTCGTGAAATAAAAACTTCGAGAGCATTATTTCTTTGATTTCGCCAGGCTCAAAAGAACACAAAAATTAATACTTCACACACTGGGTCATGAATAGTGCCAGGCCCACTATATATAACACCAGGCTTAACTGATTAGCCCAACTAACCAAAAACAACTCAACTAACTAGAAACAACTCAACTAACCAGAAACGGTTATAACAACTCAACTAGAAACAGTTACAGCTAATCAGCTATAGACAACTACATTTTATACTCTAATATTTTTCACATCTTCTATCTTTGTAGTCACCAACTCCACAAAACCCCAGAAAGGTTGGGACTTTCTGCTTGGATCTGGAAGTTTCTTCCTCCCCATAACAATGAACCGTAACAATGGCTCTTCCTCGATATTTACTTTCTGCAAATTGATTATAAGGATTTTCAAGTAGACAAACAATATTTAAGCAAATAATGTTTTTTTTATCATATCTGGCTGCCCTGCCCGCCTTCATTTTGACGAGGTTGTTCTTCATTTTGATCGATCACATGAGAACTATGGCCATTTAAAGTCATTATTTCTTCAGTTTGGACATATTATTCAAATCTTGTTAAGCAATGTTAAGGAAAAGAAAAACAATAAAATAAGATTCTGAATAGTTGCGTAAAGTTGTATGTTTTGTCAATAATTAAGAAAGATTTAACCTTGAACTTATGCTTAACTGATGAAAATTAGATTATCCGAAAGTATATGATAAATTCGAGTCATTTGCCGATCTTACTTATTGTTACTAAAAGAATACGAAAACAGAAACAAGAAATGGAATGCTAAAAGGGAAAGCATGGATGCAGGCATCATTGCTGATGTTACTGAAATATGCTTTGTCCCTGTAGTTTATGATGAATCACTTCAATAAAATGCTGTCGGGTTTTCTTGTTTTGGCAAATCAAAGGAAAACTCAAACGGTACTTGTCTTCTACTTCAAGTTTTAGTTTCTTTTTAGGTTTAATAAAATGGGGTAATTTCTTTTCACTCCTTTGAATCTGATCTCTGTACCCCATCAACGAATCAAGCCATATGGCTTATAATGGCCTTCCAAGGAACCTGTTTTGTTGCAGATTCTTTCTGTTTCGGTGTGTTCAATTGGAGTTTTTCTTTGTCTATTCCATTGTATAAGAATCTCAACCCCAAATTGTATTGTTAATATATACTTTCATATCAAGAAAAGTGTGACCTAATGTATCATAGGATATAAACAATGGCTTGTATTCATCCATCATTTTTGTCCAAGCAACAGAAAATGACCCATCAATATATTTGACGTATCGATATTCATCATTGTGTCTCCTCGCTCTCTACTTTCCTTTGGGAGTGGATTAGAAATTTGAATGAACTACATTATCCTACATTACTTTTTTATTTTTTGGATGCGTGACATCTCACATAAGGGGTTTTATGTTGATTTTCAAGGATTTAAATTACAGTTGTGATTGCGTTTTCCATCGTAGTGCGTTTATTATAATTACATATATAATGGACGCTATTATAATAATTGCGGATATCACGATCATATAATAACGATTATGGACGACATGACTACTGTTATATAACCATTGCTATTCTGATAACATAACACTATTTAAATCTATGATCAAAACTATCACTAAAAGCTTAATAATGAAAACTTCGACTACTTAAAGAACCAATAAAAGAAGAACCTGTGGCTGTGGCTATATTTACTTTTAACTATCAAAGGCTTTGCTCGCTATCATTCTCTTCGAAGCAGCTGGCCCAGCAGTTGCACCACACTGTGTTGGTGTCTGTCGACCATCTTTGGACCGCCACTTCCTTTTATCTCAATGTTTCACCAAAAGCTAGCGTCCAGAAATCAGCTGTGGTCTCATTGGTAACAGGAAATGTGGTCGATATCGGCACTAGACATAGCCCTCGGCTTCTTAGATCTTGTTTTGGCTCATCTGTTCTTTTTTCATATACCTCTTGTTGTATGGAAGCTGATGCTTGCTTCACATATCGAGTACTTAGAACCTTAAATGAACAAATATATGTATACGTTAGGGTTTTACAAAAGAGAGTGAATAGAAAGAAGGAAGTGGAACATACATTGACTTGATCATGAAGGAACTTGATGTATTCAATGGCTTCATGTAGAACTGATGCGGTATCAGTCTGAGAAAGAAAAAGGTAAGGTTGATAATGATATTAACCCTAAAGAACAATCTAAAAGTAAAGGTTTTCAATTATTTACACTTTGAAATATAAAAGAAAATGAAATCCAAAATTTCACCTTTCCGAAAGGTGAAACCAACTGCTGGAGCGCAGTGATTCGGTCCCCTAGCTTCTCTTTCCGAACCTGATCTCGAAAGTTGCTTTACTTTGCAGAAAAATAAGTTGCAGGAAAGAAAAATGGTGAAATTTGTATCAGTATAGTTACCTTAAAAGTTGGTAATGGAGATGGTGTTTCAAGCTTTGGCCTCTTGAATGCAGGTTCACTGCTTCCTTTCTTCGTCTCCGACCCCATGTTTCGAACTTCATCGGAAAACTGTGATTTCGGCGACGGTAAAAAACCGGTTTTGACGTCATTTATGGCCATGGCAGCGGCGTTCCAAAAGGGTGTGTTATTGGAGAACTGCAAGCTACTTGGTTGCAGCTCCGGCGACGATGGCCTTATGAAAGGTGATAGTTCATTAGCGTTTGCCCCATAATTGGATGTTGCCGACGACGTAAAGCCGGTCGACGACGGGTTGTTGAAAAGGGATTGATGTGGAGTTCGAGGATCGGAATCGGATTCAAACAAACTTTGTAACAGTGTTGATGGGTACTCATACGATACCGAAGCCATTGGAGACCCTGCTGATAAGCCCAAGCACGTCGGTATACTATTACCGGAGCCGGCCGTCGAATTCAATCTCGGCTGCTCCGATGGAAAATCTTGATCATTAACTTCTTGACGAATCAAATTATAGCTCTCGGTTCTCCCATTACTCCGACTGCAGCTAGCAAAGAAATTTAGTATAATAATTAAGCGCTTAAAATATTCTTCTTTTATCGAACTTGTGGTTGAAGCTTTGGACTAGTATAAGGCCTTCTTGAATTTAGAACTTCAGCCATAAAAAAATTCTTACTAAAACCAGTTATAATTACAAAACATCATCAAAAAACTTACAGCACTGACAAGTTCCAGTCCGAAGTTGTCAATGATGGAAGGCCAAAACCCATCATTTGTGGATTAGAATCAATCAAAATACTGCTGTCAGTGCCGCCACTATCTGAACCAGCTCGCCGAAGCTTCCGATGACGACGAAGATTGATATCAACCGTATCAGTGCCATGTCCGAAGCTTCCCACAGCAGCAGCAATCGTCACGGAACACGGCGGAGAGCAGCCTGTTAACTCGGGTCTCGTCGAATCCCACCACGCTCCGTCACGAATACCGGCATGAAATTCATCTGCCATAACCCAAAAAATTTCCAAGTTCTTTCCTTGTTCCTTGTTTCAGGGAAAAGAGAGCTCTCTCCTTGAGGAGTTGAACGATGCGTAATTTACATATGAAACGGTTCAAGTGTACGGATCAAAGGAAATTACAGAAATTGGGTTGACATTTGGAAGGGATGACTAGACAAATGACAGAAGGCATTTTTTAGTCGATTTATTTTCCCTTGAAGTACGATCGTCAATTAATTTATTATTTTCCTACTTTTCCAACAACAAAAAATTTAATTGTTTTAGAAATAATTCCTTGTTCCTTCCGAATAAAGGGATGTCATGGGAGAATATGATGATGAAGATGCTGTTTCATCATACTGCCACGTCCATGTCTTACTCCAACTTTGTGTTTAATCGGATGGTTGCCATTTATCGCTGAAATCATTCGGTCCATATGATAAAATATATTAAAGTTTAGGAACAAATTAACTCTAATGTAATTAACGCAATTGTTAAAATAACTAAATTACTAATCAATGGAGAAGCCATATAAAGAATTGGGAAAGGGAGAGTAAGCTATTTCGACATCATGCTTATATAGGGTGGTAAAACAATGGGGGACTTGAGCCCACAGTGCAGGCGCGCGTGCAAGCACAAACATGGGACCAGTCGGTCAAACCAATAGATAATGTGGTGAAAAACAGGAAAAAAAAACTCATAAAAGGTGATGGAATTTATTTTCTTGATTAAAATGCCTTTATCATCCTTCTAAGCTTTAAATTAGGTACATGTTCCCTCCATGTCCATCTCCGTCAGATTGACTTCTATGATGTTATGTATACACATTTATCTAGGAAAGAAAATTGAACCAAAGGCACCATAAATCATTGGTTTTATGGATTTATGAAATGTGACAGACAAAAATATTAGTATTATCCATTTGGTGGGGTTGACATGGTTGATTGACTCGTACTTTCATTCTTTGTGTTCGATTGGTGTATTCTCTAAGCTTGTGAAACTGGTATATGAAAAAACCCACAGTTCGACATAATCAATACAGCAACAGTTGGAAGATGGGTCAATTTCATCCTAAATAATCAGAGGAATGATGTTGAAGAGTTGCACAAGTTAATGTTTTAGGTTTTCATTATGGTCAATTGGAGTTCAAGGACGAGATGGACCTAATCTTTTCTCTTATTATTCTTCTTCCTTCCATTTTGCAACATAAACAACTATGATTAAGTAACCCCTTTGAGCAAAATCATCGGGAAAACGCGTACAAACAAGAGTTAGGTAATTGCTTCCCCCTTTTTCTTATTAGTTTTTCATTTTAAAAATGATTTTCCATCCGAAAAGCAACTGAGTTTTGATCAACTGCTGATATAATGTAAGATGCGGTAAAAGTATAATCTTTCAAAATTTACTAAAATGCATAAAGAAAAGGAATATACTCGGATCATAAATTAATTTATTCATATTGAACACCCACTAGAGATGCTAAACATCTCTATCGTTGACGTATGTAGTTAGGCTTTTTATTGACTTGTTGAACTGCTAGTGTGTGTCGTGATGTAACATGAACCTAATCTTTGTAAAGTGGTGAAGCATAGACATAATGAAAGCTTTTGAGTTACATTTTTGTCAACGCACAATGCAGATTCAGTCATCGTATTTTAGACTCAATTCCATATTGAAGATTCGCATTGGATTTGGTCATTTCCGAGGAGAAAATCGGTGCATCTAGTTAGACTCGTTGAGTAGGAATAGCTGATATGATCAAATCAGAGAGTGCTAATGTAGGTATGATTACCTTAAAGAGTCCGTTGAAAGCTTGTAGACTTCACTCGATCACATTTTGCATTCGGTGTTTGACCATACCGGGAAAGACATGGGCCTAAATATTATGAGCCCGAATGGACAAGAAAGGTTACAGGCTATGAAGTAGGCCGAGATGTTGTTTAGGCTTTGGACTGGCTTGTTGATTGCTAGGCAAATTTGGCCCATTAGAGTAGGTGGGTTAATTATCTAATACGGCACAAGAGACTTTATTTTGGAAACTATGATAATTTTTACAGTGTTGGCATGACGAGTTCCCCAAAAAAAAATATTTTAATGGACCTAGGTATGTGGATCCCGTGTGGTATAATATTTTATTATATTTCGTGAAACTCGTTATGCCTACATGATGAGTTCCATTAAAATATTACTTTTTTAATTTAGAAATTTTATTTTTTATAATAATTATTAAAAGAATGGAATTCGTCATTTTGGTGTGACAAGATTCTTTTGATTTAAAAAATAGCCTTTTATAGACGTTGGACAACTGGCATGTTTTAAATTGACAAGGAACTCATCATGTGGGAGTGATGAGTTCCAACGGTCGTATTGATAATTTTTACTAAATAAAAACTACTAAGTTTTACGTTAGAAGCATTAACTCATACATTACATTAGAAACATTAACTCTTACATTACATTAGAAACATTAACTCCTATATTATATTACATCACATTAAAAAGCATTAACTCCTACATTACATAACAATACAATAGAAGTATTAAGTCGTTATCCCCACATCTTAATCTTCGTAGTTATTTGACTCGTCAAATGCTAAGTTTTTTAATTCTCCATTCTTTCTCTTGTTTCCTTCTATATATAAATAGTTCAAGTTCTTGAATTCCAACTTCTATATTGACGGATGCGTATTGAGATTTTATTTTTTATATGGAATGAGTTGTTGCTTGCTTATGATAATCAACAAATAACTCAATATTACTAACCGAATTGGTAATGTATGTGTCAATAATTGTTCGAAATATAACATCTTTGCTCAAATAGCCCATTGATAATAGCTGTGGAACCAAAGAGGTTGGAAACTTGAACTCTAATAAAGAAAGTGTTGAATCTTCATTAGCTCCAACCTTGTCTAAAATATTCATCACTAAGTTGAAAAGTCAAATGTCTCCATTGAAGGAGATGGTGAAAGATTTTTTTCTCACAATAAATTATTGTTGAATATATTGTCATGGAAATCTTCAAAATCGAGATTTGAACAATGAAATTATGCCTCTCATATAGGCATGAATATAGACGTTTTTCATTCAAATATCATTGAAAAGTGATGGAGAAATTATTATGATATGATCTGATCAATTATTAAATATGGTCAACAAGTTAAAAAATGAGATGATATATCACTAAAAGAATGATGTTTTGAATTCAAATATTACTGAAAAGTCATTTTGAGTTGACACATCACTAAAAAAATCATGGTAAAATTATTGTGATAAGGTATGATTTATCAATTATTAAATAAGCACTGGAAAGATAAAAAATAAGGTGATATATCATCAAAAGGAAAAAAAAAAGGTTTTTCATTCAGATATCAATAGAAAGTCGTTTTGATGCGACATATCATTAAAAAGTCAAGGCGATGAATGGCCAGACCAGATGAGAACATCTCTTATTGTTGTCGTAATGGGGCACGCAAGAATTGTAACAATATCTCGTTGTCTGAAAACTAATGAAATCAATGCATCATTCCACCGTGGCTCATTTAGTAACATAAATTTACCGCATCGAATAGGGTCGACAATACTATCAATATAACTTAAGTCAAGCCGGATGAAGTTAGAGGATCCCCACGATCAACAAACATTCACGTGTTGCTGTTTTGACCTGTTCGCCAATGAAACCCAGCTTGAAGTGCCTGCATGGCTGAATATATTCTTTGCCATGTAAATGAAGGGCGTATTCCCAAGTGAGAGTAAAAATACAACTCGATGGAAAATATTTAGAGCTTAACACTCACGTGAGAAGGCTAGTAGGGGAATAAATACATCGCCACACATGTTTCCCGAGTAAGGCTGGATTAAATTTCGAAATATCCCGAAATCCAAGTGCCCCAAGATGTTTTAGCAGACAAATATTGTTCCAAGCTACCATGAACCATCAGCGCTTAGAAGGACTGCCCGACCACCAATAAGACCGAAGAACGGATTCCATATCAGCAACGATTCTCTCGGGAGAAGATAACACCCCCTAGGATATACCAGAATTGCCTGCCCAACCGATCGAATATAAACCGCCCGACCACCATATGAAAGAAGATGCTTCATCCAACTACGGACTCAGGACAGAAGTTTGTCTTTTAGAAAGCCAAAGGCCTCGATTTTGTTACGACCAACAACAAATGGTGTTCCTAAATACTTGCCTAGTTCATCAATCATCATCACTCCTAGAATAACACTCAATGTTGTACACTCGGTAGGAGTAGTGTGGGCACCAAAGTAAACACTAGACTTTGAAAAATTCACTTGTTTTCCTGATGCAACACAATACATGTTCAAAATGTCCCAGCACCACTATAGAAGAAACTAGTGAAGTTCCCCAGATACTACAGAAAACTAGGATCACAGCATCAACATAAAAAGTTCCTGTAGCAAAAAGTCGATCAACCATATTATCAGTAGAACGAAGCTCCGGTGCTACAATAGTGGTGGTCGGCTAGAGGACATTGCCGACCTCTTTAGCCATGAAATAGAGACGCGCTAGCAAATCTTGAACTTCTTCAGCCATCAACGTGTGAGATAGTAAGAGCCATCAACTTCTTCAGCCATATTATTTCCCTCGTGTGAGTTTAAGTATCTTCCAAATGATGTTTATTGGCCACCAACTATTTTGTATAATGATTGTCAAATCCAGAATTACGTAGGAAGTTGAAGAGTCGACATGAATCTAGTCGAATTCATATTGATACGGATGATCCTCAACAAGAGCAAGGTCTACCGAAGTTTTGTGGCCACTACGGGATAAAAGCTACAATAGAAAGCATACCCAAATCTTTCTAAATATCAACCTGGTTGATAAAACATTCGTAATTGTGTTTAATTCATGGTTTTAGTTATATATTTTTACTCCGTTTATGTAGTTCTCTAATTTTTTATCTTCCACTTCATCTTTTTAAATTTTGAACATCCTTGTTTCAACTTTTTATACATAATTGCAAACTATTCATTAAAACTTTTAA